CTCACACCCCCCCCCCCCCCCCCCCCCCCCTCCCAACAGTGATACAGGTGTTGTAACACGTAGATTAACCAATGGGAATATATCCTCACCGTCACAACCCTACTCTCTCATTCTCTCATTGCTGTGTTTAGATTATTACTCACTCGCTGTATTCTCATCTTCCAGAAAACAGCTCATGCATTTTGCTCATTTGCTCATTACAGTGTATAAATAATTTACATGTTTAATATGAATGTTAGATGCAATATAGGTCTATCTATCTATCTATCTATCTATCTATCTATCTATCTATCTATCTATCTATCTGAGCTCAGGTCTTGTGAAATATCATATTTACTAAATAGCTTTAAATCCATCATGGTAAAATGCTAAATCTGTAATCCATTCTGACCCAGAGTTAAAAACACAAACATGAGCGCTGCAGTGTCTTTGATGTAGTAATGAGGCAGGAATGCAGTGAATGTTGATCTAATTATGGGTAAGGTTTCTTATTAAACATAGCCTAAAACATGCGTCATGTCTAGGTGTTCTCAGTAATGCATTGCTAAGATCTAACGGACTGTTTATTTCATTTCATACAGTCCTGCATTCACTTATCTTCATTCATATCTTCTGCTGTCATTCCATCATCCCGTTCGTGCATCTCTGCCTCTTCCCGCATGAGACGCTGGTGCTCTCTGGCACTGACCACAAAAGATCTGATTGCTCTATGTCTGTCAGTTATGATTTTAACAGAATTCAGTGTATAGCTGGTAATTGCAGCACGTGTTTGAGAGTGGCTCTTAACCCTTTAGAACCTAAAGCTAAAATAGGCCGTTTTCACTCATTTCGTTTTTTTGAGTATAAAATTTTAACACAATGTGGTATCTTCAAGTGTAAGGTGTCATTTTTTTTCAGAAAATGATTGGCTTTCAGGAAATTACAGTTATTGTACATTATTGTGTGTGGTGAGTTAGTAAATAGAATTGAAATAGACAAAAAATTAAAAAACGGGAAGAAATTTAACTGCTTTTTATTTAGAAAAAATCTGAAAACTCATGAACGAAAGAATCTAATGCCTCAGTCTTGAAAAAGGAACTATAATACATATATACAAGTCTTTTTGGGACACTAGATTGCACAGTTTTCACTCAGGAGACATTTGTTTTACCCCAGTTCTCCAGGCGTTTTTGGATCCTTCAATCCAGTCATTTAAATGTGGTGCTCTCTGAAGCAGTTCCTGTCTAACTGCAAACATAGTCCCACATCACATTCCTGGCACTTCCATGGGGTGCTCCTTTTGCATCGTATGCAACGACGCCGACCCATGCTGGCCCTCTCTGAAAGGTTTTGAGTGTTACTCACAGGAACAGGCAGATGATCACATCTCTCTCTCGGGCTGCCATCCAGGGGAACACCTGTGAGCTGAGCAGCTAGCAGCTCCTGAAAGTTTTGCCGTGTCATGCACTTGTCATGGTGGATGGCACACAGCTCTTTGTGTAAAATGAAGCTGTTGGTCACTGCAATGTCTAGGAAGTGCTGGAAAATTGTCATGTACCACTTCCGTGTTTTACGGTGCACAGAATTTGTTCCGAGCATCTGGTCAGAGGTGTCAACTCCTCCCATATACTTATTGTACTGCTGAACTGCTGTTGGCCTGGGAACAGGGACCTTCTCTTTTCGCCCATCCTCTGTCGTCTGCCACCTTAGCACAGTCTCCCCGCTGTACACTGTGTGGATAGTTGTGCACATGGAGACCTCCCTTGTGTCCATCCGCCGACACGTTCGGTTTTAAAGGGTTAATGCAATTCGCACAACTACATTAGCTGCTCTTTTGGGAACAGACTGGTTACAGTTTGACACTGTTTTGGTGAGAGGAAGTGGTTGCCAGAGGAGGGAGATGGAGGAAAAGAGAGACTGATGTAGGGGGTTGACGAGATGACAGGGGGAGGGCCTCAGTGATGTATGATTTGATTACTATCAGATAATTCATCATGTACTTTCTCTCTCTTGTTTCCTATACTCCGACCCTCCCTTGACTCTCCAGAGACCTGTTTTTATTGTCTTTTGTTAGTTATTGACCGGGTTTATTATTGCCCAGTTTTGTTTTCAGTGATGTCATGCACCGATTTTATTATTTTTGTTTTATTTTACTTTATTTATTTATTTTTACAGTTTAGAAGTAATGTATATGATTATAAGATTTGTTAGTCTAATGGTACAATTTTTTATTTGTATGCAGATACACAATAACATGCAATTACATTTTTTAAGATTTAACTACTGTTTTAATATAATACATTTATTTAATATTTAAAATAATTATTCAAAAAAAAAATTTTAAGTTCTGAAGGTGCATTATGCTTCTGTTTGTGTTCCTTAGACATTCAGCATGTTGTTCAACACAGCAGTTATTATACATTAAATAATGAAGAACTTAAGGCTTTTTTCTCTCTGTCTCAGGATCTTCAGCGGCTGAACTGTGAGCACAGGACAGAGAATGATACCAGAGTTGTGGTTTGTGACCTGGGAAACCCAATGGTGACTGACACAAACGTAAGAGCCATGTCGCACAAACTCTATTGATATGATGTAATATGCAAGTTTGATTCGAAAATGAATTAATGAAACATACAGTACTCAATAGTAGTACGATGACAATGAATTGTTGGCCAATGCTTTGCAATTGTGTGGTACATACTTATGTTATGGACATATGGTGTATAATGTGCTTTCTTGCATTACAGTGACGATAACAAACCTCAGTACTCGAGGGAGCAATAGAGTTTCCTTCAAATGTCTGTGCCATTAAACCAGATATGTTATCATTCAGATAGCAAACCTGTCAACAGACTAACTATTAGTCTAAACGTTACTAACTTGCTCAGCAATCTTCATTTCAAGCAATTACCCTTATACAGCCACCATGACAGAAATTGACATAAAAGAGAAAAAAAAAACTTGTGGCAACTCTGAAAATGCAATACTTGCTTTGTTGCATTATGAATTGGATTCTGATGTATTTGTCAACACATAAAATTGGGCTTTTGTTTATATACTTGTGTAGAGTTTGTATTATTGCGTTCTTGCATATGTTTTGGGTCTTAGCTTTCAGTGAGAGCTTGAATCCTTCAGTGCATTAACATAAATGAGCAAGACAGAGGGAGGAGGATTTTAGAGGGGTGAGAAAAGGGTAAGACAGCATATCGGTTTGCCCTTTAATAGGCAGATATTTAGTAGCACTGTCAGTTTGCTGAGACTTCAGGTCCTGTATGAGACACCTGCACATGCATCACACACACACATCTCTTGATCCTGTTCAACCAAAATAGGATGCTGAAACTGAAGGATATTCAGTTGAATTAGAAGGTTTTTTCAATAATGAAACAAGAGATGAGTGCATAAATGCGTTCAAAGGTTTGGGGTCAGAATGTTTTTTTTTTAAGAAATTAATGCAATTAATACTTTTATTCAGCAATGAAATAGATCCAAAGTAACTGTAAAGACATGTATAATGTTGCAAAAGATTCTATTCAAAAGTGAAAGTGAATCCTGAGCAGCGAACTAATTTTCGGCAGCCGCAGCACCCCGGTTGGGAAACACTGATCTAAAGAACCTTTTTCAACTATAAAGAACCTTTTGTACAATGAAAAGTTTCCATGGATGTTAAAGTGTCTTCATGGAAGTACAGATGCCAATAATAAAAAAAAACTATTTTAAGAGTGTATATAAACGTAAAAGTATTATTTACTATATTATTTACTCTCTTATGTTTCTGAACATTCGTTTTTACAGTGTATTTGACACACATACCTGCATCTTTATTAACCAGTTTACTCCTCTCCTCTTCTGTTTGTTTGGGTTGCAATGCTTGTTAAAGCAATTGAAATGTAATTCGTCTGTAATTTGATGCATAGCTGGTAAATGCTTTGGCTCGAGCTGTGCCAGCTCATTGAGAGCAGAGGCAGGGCAGAGAGGTTTATGACTGCATTTACTACAGCAGGTCAAAAGATGTTGCTCATAAAATATAAATCAGAGCATCACAACTGAATAGGCAAAAATATTACCTGTAGATGGGCATACAATATGAACCTGCGGCTTTAAAATGGTATTAGTCAGTATGTGTGGAGACAGTTAGCTGGATACTCAGAGCTCTATGTTTTTATATGTCCAGTTGGCCTGTCATAGCAGTGGATTGTGGGTTTGGAATAGAGCTTGTAAATTCAAAGAGAGCCAAAAAGAGAAATGTGTCATTTTTTGATGTTACAGTATTTTCTTCTGTCAAAACCATTCATAGGGCCCGCCTGGACCACTAGATTAAATCAGCACAGCCAGCGAGGATCGAATGCAACTTTTTTGGAACGAACGCAACACTTTCGAACGAGCACACCTTTTTTTAAACAACAAAATAATGGCTGTTTCGTGGATTGTTGAGAAAGTACATACGTTCCTCTCATTGATAGCCGAGGAGCAGTTCCAGAGAGAGCTTGATGGGACGACACGGAATGAAAAATATTTCAGGAGGTTGCGGCAGTAAAGACGGTGCAACTCTAACGACATGTCTATAATCCCGCCCACTCTAAAGCGGTACTAAACTGCAGTGGAAACGCAAACTGAGCCGAGCCGTACCATAGAGTGGAAAAGTGCCATATGGGGACTGCCACCAGCCGGACCAGTGTCTGAAGCACGTGTGAAACAACTCCAATCCCATTGGCCCACGTAGCCCATGACATCACAGGCGTGTGCCCGGAAGTATAAGAGGGCACCTTCGGAACACGTCACCAACTTTTGTTGTCTTCAGGAGCTGTTTGTTTGACAGTGCGTGTGATAGCGTTATAAAGAAACCAAAGCAAGTAAACGTATTAGAAAGTGTGTGCCTCTGTGTCTGAGGTTTCTGACACCCGAGGACACACTCAATCTATACTTTATGTGTCTTGGTGAGGAGCACACACATTTGGGGCTCGAGGACTCTGAATGCGCTCATTGTGAGAATTTACAATGAGAAAGCTCCGTTCGTGTTTGTCACTCTTCTCGAGGGATGAGAGACAAGCATCTGCGTCTCGTGGTTCGGGTCCCTCTGGAGGCATGGCAAAGACTCAGATCGCGGGGTTCACAGGTCGAGCTTGCAGAAAAGGATTTTCGGCAGCTCCGCTGAAGCGGTGGTTAAGAAGTTCAGGGAGGCGATGGTGCAGTCCGCTGCCTTCAGGAGGCTCATTCCCCGCCGTCCCAAGTCATCCTCTAAAACCTCTGAGGGGGCTGGTCCATCTCAGTCTGAGGATCATAGGCAGGATCAAAGAGTAATGTGGCCACTCGAGCCCCTCCTCCCTCTAGGAGTCAGGCACAAAGGCAGGCGAGCACTAAGAGGAAGCGTTCTGGTTCTAAACCGCACTTAGCTTCTAACACTTCTTGATGCACCCCCACCCACACCCCCGACTAATGTTGCTCTTATGTGTTTCGCTTGTTGGTGAACCACTGACTGAAGGTCCAGTCTCTCCCTTGTGATGTAAGCTTTTTTTCAAATACTCACAGTGGTCGGGCTGCCCTCCTTATCAGGGTTTTTCAAGTAGACAAAAGGTCAAAGGACCAGACCTGAGCCTCTTTCTAGCCGTCTCCCCTGTTAGGGTTTTAAATAGATGGTCTTAAGCCTAGTCAGGTAGTAGGGGTGGGCTGCCCCCCTAAGGGGTTTTTAAGTGAGTGGTCCCCCTGGGCCCTGCATGTTGCTTTGGCTCATTGTAACACAGCCTTCTAACGATAGCGGTGTTCTTAGCTTGGTTAATGGGATGTCCCTCCTGATTGGCTGGGTTCCCCATTTTTCCGAGTTATGTTAGTGGCCCCAGGCGTCAGTTGCTTTCCCCCTTTCTGAGGGAAGGTTCGGTGTATGTCTGTTGCTTCCCTTGGTTCTCTCCCACCAGGTGAACAGGCATGCGGCATGGCTGACTGGGCATTCCGCTAGTGGATGCAGCGTGACTTCCCTAGAAGGGGAATGTCTCAGGTTACACATGTAACCATGGTTCCCCAGGAGAGAACGAGAGACTGCCTAGGGCTTGTTTTCACGTCTCCTTCAGACAACCAAGTTGGTGACGTGTTCGGCAGGCACCCTCTTATATTTCCGGGGGCCCGCCTGTGACGTCACTGGGTAAGTGGACCAATGGGATTGGAGTTGTTTCACACGTGCTTCAGACACCGGTCCTGTTGGCGGCAGTCCCCATAGTGTCCGCTAGAGGACTCAGCATCTCGTTCCCTCTGGGAACCATGGTTACATGCGTAACCCTAGATGTTATTTAATATACATGAGGTGCAGGATTTTGGACCAATAAGTTTCCAGTGTGGGCTGGGCTGTGCAGCACAGTGGCGCTGAAATATTGTTATAGTGTTCATTAAATATAAGCTGAGTTGCAGTTATTTTATATATACTAATAATGAGTTCTGTATTGTCCAATTAGATGCTGTTACGTCATTACACGGGGACTAGCTCACTGGTTGTTTATGTTTAGCGTCAGTATGCTTGCAGGCTCCAGTGCGGATGGTTGTGGTCAAACCCATCAGCACTGGGCAAGAGCATAAACCCCACTGTTGTAAAGTTATGCTTTACTAAGTAAAGTTCCTTCAACGGATTATCTTTGTTGTGTGCTTCTCTTTACGCCTCCACGGACACTGATAAACTAACATTACAGACGAGAGCACAACAATATAAACCAAGTGACAGATGAACCCATTCTCATTTGTTGATGTTAAGGATGCTTAGAATATTAGCATGATTAGCATTGCAATTTATTATTTTGCCTAAATAATGCCAGATAGTGGTAGGGCAGAAGCAGTGGTAGTTTATTTGGTAAACCTGTTTGGAAACAGTCATTAAAGGCATAGTTCAAACCTGTGTGACTTTGTTTCTTCTGTGGAACACAAAAGAAGAGAAAGAGAGTTGTTTGGCTCTGTGACCTGTTAACATGTTCCAGATTTGGAAAAAGGGGATGTAGTCATGGTGACAGGCTTCATCATGAGCTAAATTATCATGGCACCAGCGGAGGAGGGTGACAAGGCCACAGATCCCCCAACTCACATGCAACAAGCAAAATGAGAAACATGTCATAAGCTCACACTCACACATCGTCGTCACTAGTGTCACAAAATAATTGTACCACACATGGAATCAACGTGTAGCCTGTGATCAAATGCAATATGTTTTTTTTCCTTCTTTTCTGTTTTCTTCTTTTTCAAAACTTTCCAAACTAGCCTTTCATAGCCCATAAAATGGAAGTCATAACCATGTGGGTGCGGCTCATTCATCACAAATAGGGCATCACAAGTCCAATGTGCACAAAACATGTTAGTCACACCTCCTCAAGCAGTACGAGCATCACATACGGTTCCTGTATGAGGAACAGCAAAGTTTGGTACTGACCCTGTTCTATGAAGTAGAAGCTTTGGAAAGGAAGTAGAAGAAGGAGTAAAAGTCACAGTAAAGCCATTTAAAATATTACAAAATATTTTTTTCTAATAAATGCTATTCTTTTGAATTATCTTTCGCAAAAATGTTAAGCAGAACAAGTTTTTTCAAAGTTTATAAGATAAGAAATATTTCTTGTGAACCAAATCAGCATATTGGAATCATGTGACACTCAATACTAGAGTAATGGCTACTGAAAATTCAGCTTTGCCATTACAGAAACAAATTACATTTTTATATAGATTTATTTATATATATATATATATATATATATATATATATATATATATATATATATATATCTCACAATAATATAGTTTTTT